CAGAAATGAGAGAACATATTCTATTCGCAATTGCATCAAGAACTATGTGAATATAGTTAAAATTGTATTTTATTTAAAAGTTAATACATGGTTAAAAAAATTTTTTTTGAGAGGTTTTTGCTATAGGACGCGTGCACTTGCCGGACAGACAGAGACCGAGAGAACAGAAAAAGCAAGAAATCACCCCCTGGGGGGGATGGCCACTCCGCAATCCCTTCTCCTCCATTCTCCTCTCAGGATCTTGGGCATGCATGCGCACGTGCCCGGCGTGAGTTTAAGCCACGGGGTCCAGGACTCGAACTGCGGTCACCTACATGGGAGTCCAGCGACATAGCCATCACACTAACTGCTGGTCCCTGGTTCAAAATTTTTAAAGTACAAGAGAACATGGTAGAAAGATCTATGTTCCATAGGCACCAACTTCCCCTCTAAAGAACCAAAGTAGAAAGCAGTGGACGGCATAGTGGTTATACTGCTGGACTTCTACATAGCCAACCGCCGTCCGATCCAGACCTAGAGGCTTGAAACTCACACTAGGAGCGTGTGCGTGCATGCCCACAATCCTGAGAGAGTGGAGGAAAAGGAGTTGCAGTGTGGTAATGCTCTGTGGGTGGTGATTTCTCTTTCTGTCTCTGTCTCTCTCTGCCTCTCCTGAGAGTGCACACACCCTATAGCAAGAATCTCTTTAAAAAATAGTGTGATTTGTGTGTGCCTGTGCGTGTACCCAATAATACCCTATAGGGTAGTTGCGCTGGATTCATTTATTACGTATATCATAAAAAGTCTTTCATTCCAATAAATAAACAACTGATTATTCTTTTTAATGGATCCTCAAGTTAATCAACTATGTAGTAACGGACAGTTTCCCATCAATCTATTATTATTATAAACACAAAATGAATAGCTTTTTACATGCACCGTGAATTTGTACCATGTGTAGCATCTTCTTCTGGAAGTAGAATTACTAGCGTAATGATAAGCACATTTATTTAACAGCCTTAGTGAGATATGATTGACACATGATAAACCGCATGTATTGAAAGGACAGGGTTGGATGTGTTTCAATGTATGTATATGCTGTAATACCACCACCAAAACCAAGAGGATGAACATACCAGTCCCCCAGAAAACTTCCTCGGAACCCTTTGTAATGTCTCCTCTCCCTCCTTCCATTCCTGTTGCCATTTCTCCAAATACCCATTGATGTATCATTTGTCACTGTAAGTTTGAATTTCCTAGAATTTTGTGCAAATGAAATTTTACATAAATGGAAATGATTACACACTCATGTGGATTCTCTCACTCAGCCTGAGATTTGAAATTCCCCTATGTTGCTCTATCATCCCACCCCACTGCTGAGTAGTGTTCCTCTGTGTGTACGTGTGCATGTGCACACACACCCCAGTTAATTTGCTTAGCTGTACGTTGAATGAAATCTTGGATTGTTTCTATATCTGGGCTGCTAAAGCACTGAACATTCATGCACCAGTCTTGTATGGACATGTTCTTCCATCTCTCTGCTGATCTCGGAGAATACCTGTATCACGTTATTAGTGGATATACAATTTCTTAAAGAACTGCCAGTCTTTCTCAAGAGGTTGTACTATTTGTATCCTCATCCATGATGTTCAAGAGTTCTGGTTGCTCTACATCCTAACAGTGTGATCAAATCTGTTAACTTTAGCCATTCTAAAAGATACGTAATAATGTCACTTTGTGGTTTTAGTTTGCATTTCCCTCATGTCCAATGATGTTAAACATATTTTCATGTGCTTATTTGCTGTCTATGTAACCTATCAGAACTAGTCTAAACAAGAAAAGCATAGTGCTATTATTTTGTGAGTTTGTGTATAGGACACATCTGCTGAGAAAGCAGAATGGCCTAAAGTTGATCTGAGCTGCAGGGAGGGAGCAAATACGCTGTCTGTAATAGAACAACCAATCATAACCGCACAAGTTTTCATTCTTATTTTGCATAATAAAAATGGACCAAAGGGACTGCAGTTCTAGTTAACCAGAACTGTGGAAGTTCTGATCCTTCATTTGCATTTATAAACCTGGTTGATAATGGGCAACAACATAGATTCACAGGGGAATAGTTGCTGTGCAACCAACTAACTATTCCTCTGGGATAGTTGTTACCCAATCAACTGCTCCTCTGTGAAACATGCAGCCTTCTTATTCTCAGAAAAGCAGATCTGAGACACAAGCTATATCAGAGTTTTAACACTTCTGCCTCCTTGCTGGCAAACCATGCCCCAAAACTTTCTAGCTTCAAAACTCTTTAGCGTTGTGATTGGTGTTCACATACAGGGGTAACATCCACATGTATTTGTAAGTGAAATACCTATAAAGACCCTTTACTCATTTTTTAAGCTGGGTTGGTTGTTTACTTAAGTTTGGGGAATTCTTCATATGTACTAGATAAAAGTCCTTTATAAATATACAGTTTGCAAAACTTTTCTCTCTATATGTGATATCATTTTATATTGTTGATCCAGTCCAATTTATCGATGTACTATAATATGTATTCTGCTTTTGTTTTGTTATCCAAAAAAATCATTGCCTAACCTAAGGTCATAAAGTTTTTGTCACAAAGTTTTTGTGTTGTGTTTTCCTCTAGAAATGTTAGGTTTTACATTTAGGTGTATGAATAATTTTCAGTTCTTTTGTATGTGGCATGAGATAGAAGCCAAACTTCTGTTTTTTGTTTTTACTTTCGCACATGAATATCCCATTGTTCAGGCACGATTTATTGGAAAGATTATGTTTCCTCCCATGAATTGCCTTTGCAATTCTGTCAGCAATCAGTGGGGTCTATTTCCTGAATTTATTTTGACTTCTAAAAATGTTCAGATGTGGGGCCAGCTTGTGGTGTAGTGGTTAAGGTGATGGACTCCCACACGGTCGCCCAGAGTTCCAGACTTGGCGGCTTGCTTTCTTACTTTCCCTCTTTCTTTTTCTGTGTCTCTTTCTGAGGAGCTGATGTGCCCTATAGCAAACATGAAAATAATAAATAAAATTATATTAAAAATGTTTGTCACCTAAAAATGTATAATTTATGAAAAGTGAAAAATTATAGAATGGCAGTAATTTGCATGTTGGATAAGGAAAAGATTACATTGAGGTTATTATCAAAGAATTCTCAAAGAAAGTATATTTTATGGGCTGAACTATGGCCCTTACAAAACTCATGTTGGAGCCCTAACCCTCGATGTGATATGAATTTGGAAGTAATGATATATTTCTATTAATCAGGCTACAAGTTTCTCTAGAAAGCAACTCATCGAATTGCCTCCCCCTTTTATTCCTGCCGGGCTGAAATCAATAGAATTTTGTCAGATACATGAAATGAAATAATATTATTTGGAAGTAAAGCCTTTGAGGAGATAACTAAGGTTAAGCTCACAACAGTGGGACCCTAAGGCAGTAGGACTGGTGTCAAGAAGAAAAGGCCCTAGAGAGCGCTCCCTCAACACACGCAGAAGAAAGGCCCCCAGAGGACAGCCTCAAAGAGAAGCCAGCCATCTGCTAGCCAAGAAGAGAGCCCTCACCAGAAACTTAACCTAATGACACCTTAATGTTGAACTCCTAGCCTTCAGAAGGGAGAAAATAAATATCTGCTGTGTAAACTCCCAGCTACGGTGTAAACTCCCCAGCTGCGGTATCTAACACAGTGGGATTCAAGAAACTCAGAACTGAAAGCTTGAGTCCCTGTTGGGTGTATTCGTGGAACTTCAGTCCTACTAACAGGAGCACTGTACGACAAAGGAAAAGGGTCTCTGATTAGTTGCTTTTAATGAAAATAACTTTCATTTCATGTATCTGACAAAATTCTATTGATTTCAGCCTGGCAGGAATCAAAGGGGGAAGCAGTTTGATGAGTTGCTTTCTAGAGAAACCTGTAGCCTGATTAATAGAAATATATCATTATTACAAGAGGAAATGTGCATAACTTAATAGGAGTATCATCTTAGGATCACTTTTGTAAACAAACACAATCATTTTTGAGACTGTAGTATCCCAAGAGGGAAATGGATAGAAGTCAAGATGATATAGTAGGGACAAATTATTTCACATTAATATCGTGAAAATAGAAAAACATTAGTCTCTTTTTTTTTCTTTAATAGAGATTTTTGCTATATGGTGCGTGCACTCATCCGAAAGACAGAAAGATTCAAAGATAGAAAGTGATAAATCACTCCCCAGGAGGATGGCCATGCAGCAATCCTTTCTCCTCCATTCTTCTCTCACGATTTTGGGCACTCATGCACACAGACCTGGTATGAGTTTTAAGCCACCAGGTCCATTACTGAAATAACAGTCAACTACACGGGAGTCCAGCAACGTAACCATTATGCCATCTGCTGGTCCCAAAACATTAGTCTCTTTAAGAATAAGATCATCTACGGCTGCTGAGAGCTTGTAGTGTAAAAGAACAGCCAGTGCATGACAAATTTCAAGTGAAAGACTATCACATATACTGCAAGTATGAACTGCTAGAAAGAAACATTAACTTCTATTGGGGGTAACAGAAAGAATTCTTTAGTAGAATTAATAGAATTTGACCTGGTGTTTAACAGTAGTGCTTGAGGGGAGCCAGCAAGTGGCAGGATGATTAAGGCACTGGACTCCTACATGACTGATCATAATTCGAGTCCTAGACCAGGTAGCTTGCTTTCTCACTTTCCCTCTCTCTGTGTCTCTGGTGAGCACACGTGGCCTATAGCAAGTCAATAATAATAATAATAATAATAATGATAATAATAAAATTAACTAATTTTAAAAATGTAGTACTTGGAAAGTAGATGTGGAAGGGGGAGCATCATGGGTAAAGGAGAAAGAATGGGCTAAGGGGAAAAAAATTGGTGAGCATGAGGAGACTGTGGCGGCTAGAGAACTGAGCTCCCAGAAAGACAGAGGGGTGTGGGAAAAAAAAGCCTTTAATAGTTACAAATTTCATATTAATAATACGTTTTCTGAAACATTATGGGATTGTAATACCTTTCTCCCAAATTAGAAGGCACATTTTTCCACAAAATTCTACATCTGTCTTTATTATTTCTCATATACTTACTTACATACATACTCCCATCCACCTCAAGCTGGAAAAGCTCTTACATTTCAGGAGCTCAACTTTAATGAGAGGAGGGAAACAGGAAAGCATGGCAGTTCAGAGCACCACCTCAAAATGACAAAACTACTTTTATGTATGAAGCCTATTTCATATTGGGTAAATTCACCTTACAGACTAAGTGGTATATATTGATTGAATGTATAAATTTTTTTTAAAATTACCTTCATGTAACACTAGCCAGACAGAAATTTGGCAGTTAATCCACTTGTGCCTAAATCACCTACCAACTAAAAGAATATCAACCCTGATACAAGGCTGAGCTATTCTTTTACTGGTGTGTGCATGCATGTATGTTCTGTGTGTGTGTAGGGGGGTGTTTTATACAGGGTCTCCTTCTGTTGCCCTCGCTGACCCTGACCGGCATTGTCTCCTGCCTCAGCCTCCTGAGCAGCTGGCACCACAGGCTTGCACAACCGAGTCCGCTTCAGCTTCATGTAACTCACTGGGTGTCAGGAGGCATGAATTACCACCACAGGCTCTGGACAGGACCAGCTTCTAGGACAAATGTGCAGAGGTTAAACGCATTTTGGTCATAGTCTTGAAGTTACCAATAATTTACCCCTGGACTTGAGTTTTGTAAGTGATGTCCAGTGGGACAATGGAACATGTGCCAAGGGGGGCAGTCTTGGTCACTGTGGTCCTGGCCCTCACAACCTCCCCACATGGGTTCTAGCTTCCCCCTTCTAGGCCACACGGATTTGCCCACCCTGCTCCAGATTGCTCTTGCAGCTTCACCTTAGGACAGCAGGCCCAGGCAGCTTTGAGGGTCTGCACTGGCAACCTAGAGTCTCCATGCTTGAGGGAGAACCACGTTAAATAGCAAATAAGGGGTCAGCAGGGGGCAAAGAAGTTAAGGCATTGGATTCCATATGGCTGACTGTGAGGTTTGAGTCCTAGACCTGGAGTCTTGAAAATCATGCCAAACATTGGAGGGGGTGGTGGAAAACAAATAAGAAAGCACTATTTTAAACTCTGAAACACTGTGAAAGAAATTTCACTCTGCGTTTAGAATGAGTTCTACATTCTTATTTTGCACAGGACCTCACAATTTCCACAGCTGGATCTGGAGTCCTGTAGCAGTGGAGAAACCCAGAGAGGCGACTCTGGGCAAGACACTCAGCTCCTCCGGAGTCATCTATGAAATAAAAATAATGGTTATCTTGATGGTTTTATGTGAACATTCTGGAGTTGGTCCTGCTTTTGGTATAAAACTTGACTCACTTTAACAGGACAATACTAGAAGGTATTAGCTATTAATACATTTTCTGAATGTATTAGATCCTAGACTGGGCTCTCACCCTGTCTCCTCTGTCTGCAAGCTATGGCTTCAAAATAGCCACTCCTGGGGGCAGCAGAAGATATGCGTTCTGGTTTTGCTTCAAATGTCCATGACCTAAATTGAAATCTTCCTCCGTGTGCAGGAAAGCACATCCCTGCTTCTACCCATTATGGTGGGCTGGAAGAGAAAGCTGTGAGGCTCTCCTAAAGAGCGCCTGCCTGCTGGAAGAGTGGAATGTCCACAACTGCTAAATAAAAAACAGGAGCCAAAGCCAGCCAAGCAAGCTTTTTTTTTTTTTAGAGGTTTTCGCTATAGGGCGCCCGCGCTCGCAGACATCGAGACAGAAAGCGAGAAATCACCCCCCAGGGGGGATGGTCACGCTGCAATCCCTTCTCCTCCATTTTCCTCTCGGGATCTTGGGCACGCACGCACACGCGCCCGGCGTGACTTTAAGCCTCCGGGTCCAGGACTCGAACTGCGGTCGACTCATGGGAGTCCAGCGACATAGCTATTACACTAACTGCATGCCCCCATGCAAGCTTTTCACAAAATCTCTCTCATGCCCACGAGGAGGCAAAGCCACGAGCACCACAAAGCCGGCCTAGTCTACAAGAGAATGGAATAAAATCTACATCTTGAAAATCTAAACTTTCCAACAAACAGCAGCTCTCACAGACTCACTCTGAGGAACAAGTCCGCGCCCGGTTGCCACAGGAACGCGCGGTTGCAGTCCCCGCCTTCTGCACCGGAAGTTTTTCTCCCCACTTCCGTTCTTCCCTCCAAGTGTTGGCGTTCTTTTTATTTGTTCCGTTTGCTCAGCAAAGGACGGATGAGTTTTGGGCCCAAGAGGCCGCCGTTGCGGGGCGTGGCGACGCAGCCGCAGTCGGGCCGACGGGGTTCACGTGCCGGTCCTAGGGGATCTTCCTCCACCTGCCATGGCCCAGCCCGCCCCTCTGAACCTCAATAACGAGGTAAGCGCCGGGGTCTGGGTATTTGGGAATCCCCAAAACGAGCACCGCCGCGTCAGCGCAGCAGGCGTGAGATCCAGCCGGGGCGGCGGGGACGGGAGCACGGAGTTCGGCTGCAGGAAAGGGGTGGGCCCGTTTTTTTTTCAGCAACTGGTAACATTGACGGTTTCTCTAATGACTGAAGCAAGAGGCATGCAGTGGCCCGCAAGCCTCACCAATTTTCATCTGCGGGACTTTGGGGAAGTCATTTAACCTCCGTGTTCAGTGTCTCTGTCCGTGACGCTCCTGGGAGTACTGTCCTCGCAAGGTGGCTTTGAGAATGGCTGAGATTGATAGCGTTTGCACAGTGCTGACGCCCGGTCTCAGCTGTGCACATTCCCTGCAGGCTTGAGAGCGGTAGTTTTTTCCTGAGAAGTGGCTGATCTTGGATGAGACGTAAGCCCAGTGCCTCATTTCCTTCCCACAGTCACCACCTCATTTCTCTTTCCACTTACAGCTAAACGTCAAGGAAGAGTTGTTCCTACTCACCCTCCGCAGGAAAGGTCTGATCTTGAATGAGGCCGTGTATATGTTTGTTCTTTGCCCCCCACAACACTTACTGGATTATTTTTTTACTAGATTGCCTGTGAGGTCGAAGTGATGATCTCTGATCATAGTGATATGCTTGGAAATTCACAGGCGACGCTAGTGAGCTTCCTGTCCAGTTTTAAAACGACTTTGATATCAGTGATAATGATGAGTCACTTAAAACTTTCTTTTCCCAGATAGTTAAATTTGGATCTTTAGGACACGTCCACTACCTCACTCTACTGGACTAGGTGCCTATTCTTTGTGCAACCAGAGTGCTTTCTCTTTTGGAAATCCCTGTTTACCTGTTTTCTGTCCCGTACGTTGATGTGTCTCACCTACAACATATCTGGTCCATAAATGTTTGCTGGGTGGCTGACTCAGTTCATCAACTTATTAGGAAGTGTACACACCCCACGGTAAAGTCTCATATGAAGGTAATAAAAAGGACAGGAAACTGGAGATGATGGAGAGGATTATTTAAAATTAATGGGAAAAACTGCAGTGGGGAAAACATACATAGATTTATTTACATGCAGTTTGAAAAATACACCAAGTAAAAAAAAAGGGAAAATCAACTAGAGAAAAAACACACAGTAAATATGACAAAGGGCTAATGTCATTACTATAAAATAGTTCATTAAAATTAAGAGAAACCATCTCACAGATAGTGGGCAAAGAAAATAATTAACAGCTTCTCGGGAGAGGAAGGGTAGCTGAAAAGAGTTCCTATTGGCTGTTTCACGTCTGGTCATTGTTTTTCCATCCCTATCACTGTGCAAGCTCTATCTCCAACCAGAGCTACTGGGGTAGCCTCCCACACACCTCACTGACTTGTCTCAGACTTCAATCTTATCTCTCAGCTGCTGCAGGGGGAGAGCTTTCTTCATAGCAGTCAGGCCACTCCCTTGCTTTAAAGGAGAACGTTGGGGCCAGCAGGTGGTGTGGTGGGTACGTGTCTGTATCTCACATGACTGCCTATGTGGTTCAAATCCCAGACCAGGCAGCTTGAAGAACATGACGGCCACACATGTGTGTGCCCAAAATATCAAGAGGAAAAATGGAGGAGATGGAATTGCCATGTGGTGATCCCTCCAGGGGTTGCTTTCTTACTTTCTCTCTGGCTCTCTCTTTTTTCCCTTTCTCTTTCTTTCTCTCTCTGTCTCCAGTGAGCACACACACCCAATAAAAATTGGGGGAAAAAAAGGAAAAGTACCAAAAAGTCTATTGGTGCCTTCTGTTACTTTAGTAAAGCCCAATCAGAATAAGGACAATCTCACTACCTTCGGTTACACAAGTTGAGTATCCCCTATTTGAAATGCTTGGAACTAGAAGTGTTTTGAATTTTTATTTACAGATTTTGGAATATTTGTACGTACAGAGAGATATCTTGAGGATGGAACCCAAACCTAATGATAGAATTTGTTTATGTTTTAAACACCTTATGCAGGACCAGCAGTTAGTGTAACGGCTATGTCGCTGGATTCCCATGTAGTCGACCACGGTTTGTCCTGGACCCCATGGCTTAAAACTCACGCCGAGTGTGTGTGCGTG